ACAGTAACGAATGACCCCACCTCCCTCATCTCATTGGCCCCCATGTTAATCCAGAGTCACGCCTTGTCCTTATTGCAATGTCAGTCCAGACACTGGAGTCAATGAGACCAGAAATGTGGTATAGGAGGGAGGAGGCCAAAATCCTTTAAAACATGTCATGGGGGATCCCCCCCTTTCCCACCACCGCTGCTCTCCACATCTGGGGCAAGGACTCAGGGCGATTTGCCAACCACAGTTTGGGCAGAGCTGGAGGGTTTGGAACATGTGTTAATAACATTCTACAGGGACATCTTACAACTTCACATATAACGTTGCCACACATCGTTTATCAGGACAATAATGGCCAGCAAATTATGAGTGTTCCAATGGTCCCTCACAAGGCCTAATTTGTACCATGATTATTGCAATCAGGTGTAGGGTGTGGGCACAGGGCTACGTTCCGTCACACACACACCCGTGCCATCCATTCACACAGGCCCAGGCCAATGCTGCTTTAACAGGAGAAGTGATGGGATGGAGGAGCCAAAAGAGTCAACAAATTCCCATGTCCTGTCCCTGGCAAATAACGATCCCAGGGACCCAGCTCAGCGCCGGGGGAGAGACCCCTCATGGGGACGGTCTGTCCTGGGTTCTGGGCACTTGTCTGGCACAGGCAGTGTCAGCATGTGAGGGGTTAATACAGGAGCGGGAGAGAGGCCTTGGCTGCTCTGGGCACTGCCTGAGGGAGCAGGGACCGGCCATGCACAGCGCAGCCCAGGAGGGGAGGAAACCCCTCACCCCGCACTGGGGACAGGGAAAGTCAGTCAGGGCCCAGCCCAGGGTCCTGTCAGCAGCTGGGTAGAACGGGGCGGGGGGCGGGGCCGTTAACGGTCATAACGGGGGCCGTGGGGAGAGGGGACGCGGGGCCGTTAACGGATATAACGGGCGGGGGGATACATGCGGTACCGGGGGGGGTGGGGCAGGCTCTGCGAGGGGTCCCCTCCCTCACCCACTGTCGGTCCCCGGGCCCGGCTCTGCCCGCGCGCACAGGGCTAGGGGCGGGGAAACAGTCGTGTTGTCACACCGGAAGCTGCGGGGCGGCCGGGGAGGTTCCGGTTCTGACCGTCTCCCTAGCAACGCTGCTGAGCCCGCCAACCTCTGGAGCAACTGCCGCCTCTCCCACCCTCCGCCGCCACGGGCCCCGCCCCTGCTCCCTCTCTTCCCCCAAAGCCCCTGCTCCTTCTCTTCCCCCATGGCCCCGCCCCGGCATCTCCCCTTTACCCAAAGCCCCGTCCCTGTTCCCCAAACATGCCCACTTTATTTCTGTAGTCTACACTACCATGGTAAGTCGATCCAAGTTACGCTACTCCAGCAGCTACATGAACGTAGCAACGTAGCTTAAGTAAATTTACAGCAGAGTCTAA